ACACAGCACCACGGTAAGTGCCGCGGAGAAGGGAAATCCAGAGTGCAGCGAGGAGCTGGACGTGGCTTACGTGCAATAAGTAGAAAGTGAGCCTAGGCACTGCCTCTTCAATCTGGTCGCCTCAGTGCTGTAGGATCTGCAAGAATTTTTGAATTGGTGGAACTTGTTTGCAGTGGCACCTACAAGCAGTTTTTCTTCTGGTCAGAGGAGGCAGTGAGGACATGTGAGGGAGAAAAACATGGCAGTACCCAGGTCAGTGGTAAAAGAAGGAGAGGAGGTGCTCCAGGTGCTGGAGCTGAGATAGCACTGCAGGCTGTGGTGAGGATTATGGTGAAGCAGCCCATGAGGTCCACAGGGGATGCAGAGATCCACTCTCAGCCCATGAGAAATGTACTCACACTGGAGCGGGTGGATCCTGGACGAAGCTGTGATCCAGTGGGAGACCCGAATGGAGAGAGAAGGCCCTTCTAAACTAGAGCAGCCCATCTTTAGAGGACTGCACCCTGTGGACGAGTGACACATGCAGCAACAGTTTTGAAAAGACTGTTTACCCATGGGAGGAACCTCCCGGTAATAGCAGAGGAAAGACTCCTCTCCCTGAACAAACAGAAAAAAAATTCTCAAGTGACAATCTAACCAAAATCCCCATGTCCTGTCTCCCTGCACTGTCAGTGGGAAAGAGGGAAGGGGGGTGGAAATGGTGTTTTAAAGGCTTATTTTACTTCTCATTACCCTCCTCTGACTCTGTTAATAATAAATTTACTTTATACCTTTAAATTTGAACCTGTTTTACCCTTAGAGTGTTTTCTCCCAATCCTCATCCTCAACTCATGAGCCCTTCATTAATTTTTTTTCTCTCCTCTGCCCAGCTGAGAGCAAGAGAAGGTCAGTGAATGGCTTTTATGGGTGCCTGGTGTTTAGCCAGTGTCAAACCATGACATGGGCCAACACACATCATTCATTTACCACAATGAAGTGAAAAATATTGCTTTGCCTTTATTAAAAAAACCAAAACAGAACAAACAAAAAAAAATCCAACCGAAAAACAACATGAAAACCTCAACAAGCCTAAGAAACAAGTGGCATCCTTTTTTGTATGGTAAGCTTCACTACTTCCTTGTGCTGGAATTTGAATGTCCTCTTTAGGTGCTCTTTAGGGCAAGAGGTTGCCTTTTGCCCTTCCCAGGGAAAAACGAGCCAAACCTGGGCTCCTCCCACTTTTGAAAAACTGCTGTTTGCATGTGAACAAGATTTGCTAGCTGAGCCTCTGGACTATGCAAGAATTTGACTAACATTAGGTAGACTCCAAGCTGGGATGGCAGAAGTGCGAAAAAAATTAACAAATCACTCTTTCCTGGCAATTGTAACTGTTAGCTGCTGTGGGCTAAGCCATGAGAGCCCGACTGTCATCTCCCTGTGCTCTCAGTAGAAATCACAGGGTGCATCTGCATTCATACTGTTTCAGATCAAGAATTAACACACATTTTCAGGGAGTTACTGATTTATTCTTCTTGTTTGGTTCACACTGTGGAATGCAAGGATACAAGTATTGCAGTGCAAGCCAAATGAAGGGTCAGTCTGTGCTAGACAGCAGCACTGGCAGATGCTGTTTTAGAGAGAACATACAACCCACTGCTCTTTCATGCATGGGCACTGCCTTTGTCTGCGACTTCCCACGGGCCAGCAAGAAGACCTGGCCCTGCTCACCTCCCTAGGGTGAGCAAGCAGGACAAGCTACCCAAGCTCCCTGCTCTGCCAGGCTCCACTGCTGGCTCTCCCCACCAAGAAGCAGTAAGCAATCCCCATACAACAACCCTACTGTGCAGAAACATGGCTCATTTTAGATGCAAGTAAGTTGTAGGAAGAGTCCCAGAAATGCATCAGCTCTGTCTCCACCTGCTAAATGATAAGCAGCCTGCCAATGGGACCAGACCAAGCTAAAACTTCCAAAATCATCCATCGCTCTTGAAGTTTGCTCCCACTGCATCATGCCACCTGCTAAAGTAGGCACAGCCAGGAATGCTTTGCACATTTGATTGAACAAGGAGTTTTGGAAAGCTGGATAAACTCTGGCAGTGTGCTGTGCAATCCTTGGGAGCCATGGATCACTTTTAGCCAAGCAAGCATCAGCGTGAAGTCACGATAACATCTTTTAAAATACTCTGAAAATTATACACAGTAGCTGTGCAAAAAGGCGTGCAAACTTACTGTGATAAATGTGATTCGTGCTAATTAAGTTGTAACTATATTAACAAAATTGTATTTAGATCAATAGAAGACAATTGTTACAGAGTGAGGGGGGAGATGGGTGAGACAGGACAAAGGACATCTTCCAGATGTTGGGAGTCGAAGAAGAAGGTTGGAAGA